GACACACAGAGAGAGCAAAACATAAGAACGGCAAAACGAGTGGAGACAGAGAAAGTACACTAAATCAAATAAACCTCGCAAAATTTTGAAATATAATGCAATGCAACACAGAGGGTCGGTCATTACACAACGCATAGCCTGGTTGATTACGTTCTTCCAAAGATTGCAAAATTAGAAGTTAAGTGTGAAATTTGTAATACACAGACACGAAGACCGATACACAAGCAGAGAGAGACAACAAAAATCCAGAGAGAGAGAGAGAAAAAACAAACTTAAAACTTCCCCGTAGAAGTGGTTCAGACTTAATTTGGAGCTTTCGTGGCTACAGGAATTACTCTTTGGTTCTTTCGGTAAAGTCACGTATAAAGAGAAAATAATAATGAATTAAATACTAGCATACGACGTGACACTGGCTGCAAGAGGGGTCCACACCGTAGAAGAATTCAGAAAGGTCAAGCGCTGGCCTGATAGTAACTCGACGCAACCCTGGTCGATGAGTATCTTCATGGACATTTTGGCCAGGAAGTCCGTGCCCAAGAGGCATGGCACTTCGAGCGTCTTAGAGACCAAGACGGGACCCTCCAGTTGAATGTCCCCAACCCGAATGAATGTCACAATATGGCCCACTATACCCAGACTGCCCCCATTTGTGGCAACACACGCCCCCTGCACAAGTCTCAGTGGACCAACGCTGCGTGGTAGCAACTCGAAAATGCATTCTGATATAATGGTGGCCGACGCCCCCGTGTCCACCAAAATGCAAATCTCTACCCCTTGTATGTAACCTGCGACCGCGGAGGAATCCGCCGCGGCCGCCACCACGCGATGCGCGAGCGCAGCCCACCTACTGACACGTGTGGGCCACCCGGATACCGACGGCGAGCGAGTACGATGCGAGACAGAAGTTTGGGAGGTGACTTGATGAATGTGAGCCCTATCTCCACTGCGTGCATGAGGTGGAGGGAGCCCCGGGCCCCGGGGACGTTGTGGGCGCATCCTCGGACCTCTCCTTGTCCTCTGACCTCTCCACCGGACGGTACTTGCGCTTCGCCACCAACTTGGACATGATGTAGCAGGTTCGTTATCACTTCTGACTCCAGTTGTAGTGGTGTAAACTCACACTGAGACGAGATTCTCTGTAAGGGCTATTGTCACTCCCCCTTACATACCCGCTCGGCCATGCCCTGGTAACTTCCAGCACATTCCCCTGGTAAATTCTTCCAGCAGACTCTATCGTCTTCTCCGTCCCTTCGTGAACCTTCTCTCGTACCTATTAATACCCACCTCCGCTATAACCATTGCCATGTACAGTACCCTAACCCCCCCCCCCCCCCCCCCGTTAAAAAAATTAGCCGTCCCGGCTATAACTGAAATTTTATAATAAGAAACTGTATGTGGGCAGCAATGGGATCGCACAAGGGATTCGACTTCTTGTCACAGCAGCCCTTTTGTCCACTTCAGCAATTGTTTCTTGCTGTGGATGTCCCACCTGATGACGGGCGCTTGTGTTGCGCCCAAAACGTCGTGATTTAATTTATTTTATTTTATACCTACGTGACTTTACCGAAAGAACCAAAGAGTGTGAGCTACCCTGTAAAGGGTGTACTGTACATTCTTGGGCAACCAATACACAACTTCGTTAACCATAGATTTACAACTCGCCATCAATATGTGTGTGTCGTCGAGCAGCACATTTAACTCGGTGACACTCGTTCTCGGGGCCTCCCTTGATTACTCCGTCGGCCCCCCTCATCGCGGCCATCTTCATTCCGGTCATTCCTGAGAAGAGAGTAAGCGAGTGCGGGGGTAGTATTTCTGCGAGGAGAATGCTCCCCTCCCCGGTATTCGTCATGACGCCCCTGGGCCCGGCCTTTTTGAACTTCCCGTGACGTCATCGCACCGGAAGGTCCGCGTGACGTAATGTCCCCGACTACTCTTCTACACATAAATGACATGTCGATGTCATGACTATATACAGTGAGGGAAAAAAGTATTAGATCCCCTGCTGATTTTGTACGTTTGCCCACTGACAAAGAAATGATCAGTCTATTATTTTAATTGTAGGTTTATTTGAACAGTGAGAGACAGAATAACAACAACAAAATCAAGAAAAACGCATGTCAAAAATGTTATAAATTGATTTGCATTTTAATGAGCGAAATAAGTATTTGACTCCCTCTCAATCAGAAAGATGTATGGCTCCCAGATGTCTTTTATACAGGTAACAGCTGAGATTAGGAGCACTCCCTTTAAGAGTGTGCTCCTAATCTCACTGTTCACAGAAGCAATCAATCAATCATATTCCAAACTCTCCACCATGGCCAAGACCAAAGAGCTCTCCAAGGATGTCAGGGACAAGATTGTAGACCTACACAAGGCTGGAATGGGCTACAAGACCATTGCCAAGCAGCTTAGTGAGAAGGTGACAACAGTTGGTGCGATTATTCGCAAATGGAAGAAACACAAAAGAACTGTTAATCTCCCTCGGCCTGGGGCTCCATGCAAGATCTCACCTCGTGGAGTTGCAATGATCATGAGAATGGTGAGTAATCAGCCCAAAACTACACGGGAGGATCTTGTCTATGATCTCAAGGCAGCTGGGACCATAGTCACCATGAAAACAGTTGGTAACACACTATGCCGTGAAGGACTGAAATCCTGCAGCGCCCGCAAGGTCCCCCTGCTCAAGAAAGCACATATACATGCCCGTCTGAAGTTTGCCAATGTACATTTGAATGATTCAGAGGACAACTGAGTGAAAGTGTTGTGGTCAGATGAGACCAAAATGGAGCTCTTTGGCATCAACTCAACTCGCCGTGTTTGGAGGAGGAGGAATGCTGCCTATGACCCCAAGAACACCATCCCCACCGTCAAACATGGAGGTGGAAACATTATGCTTTGGGGGTGTTTTTCTGCTAACGGGACAGGACAATTTCACCGCATCAAAGGGACGATGGACGGGGCCATGTACCGTCAAATCTTGGGTGAGAACCTCCTTCCCTCAGCCAGGGCATTGAAAATGGGTCGTGGATGGGTATTCCAGCATAACAATGACCCAAAACACATGGCCAAGGCAACAAAGGAGTGGCTCAAGAAGAAGCACATTAAGGTCCTGGAGTGGCCTAGCCAGTCTCCAGACCTTAATCCCATAGAAAATCTGTGGAGGGAGCTGAAGGTTCGAGTTGCCAAACGTCAGCCTCGAAACCTTAATGACTTGGAGAAGATCTGCAAAGAGGAGTGGGACAAAATCCCTCCTGAGATGTGTGCAAACCTGGTGGCCAACTACAAGAAACGTCTGACCTCTGTGATTGCCAAGGGTTTTGCCACCAAATACTAAGTCATGTTTTGCAGAGGGGTCAAATACGTATTTCCCTCATTAAAATGCAAATAAATTCATAACATTTTTGACATGCGTTTTTCTGGATTGTTTTGTTGTTATTCTGTCTCTCACTGTTCAAATAAACATACCATTACAATTATAGACTGATAATTTCTTTGTCAGTGGGCAAACGTACAAAATCAGCAGGGAATTAAATACTTTTTTTCCCTCACTGTAGGTACGTTTCTGGTGACTTGTTTTATTTGGTATACGTTTCACTCCCGTCGCGCGTGTGTGTGTTTATGTATCGTTTGTCGTTCTAACTTGTCTTAGCCCCCGTGCCCCTTACTGGATATCTGCTACAAACATAACTCCGTAGCTAGTTCAATATAAATAAAGATTCTGATTGTGATGTTTAACAGAGTGACTGTAAGAATCCGCAATAATGAAACCGGCGTGGTGCTGATGTTGCTGCTGCGTTCCTGGGCGCCGCGGCGATCTCGCTCGCCTGCTGTGCAGGAGGTTGTTGGTACGATCCCGACCCTGACATCACATAGCAAAGGAGACGTTAACTACCTCGCCTGGTGTGCAGGAGTTCGTGGGTTTGATCCCGACCCTGACGCCACGGTGGCTATGAGATGATAACTACCTCGCCTCGTATGCAGGAGGTCTCGTAAACAAAACGTGTACAATTCGTTACTAACCGCAGTACCACCAGTGTGTTGGGAGCGCTAAACCCAATACTGCAACATTTACAATTTGAGTAACCCGTGACGTTTCGCTGGTAATTACATCCGGCATCATTGGGCGTTTTTTTGCCAGAATTGTTAACGACACATCTATATATCATGGTACCTTTTCTGCCAGTATCACACTTTGATACTGACAAAAGGTAACCCATGAAATAGCTTCCCACACAACGAACTATATATGTTCTGATAGTGGCATTGTCTTTGTACTGTTCGCCTTTTGGCGTTCTCTGGTCTGAAACTGTTAATGTGACTAGGCCATAAATAAGCTGCTGTCTCTGGTGTAGGCCAATCAGTTTCAATATTATAATTAGCCAGAGTGCACCGCTGACTTGCAGAAGTGATGCTGGATCCACAATCCTTCAATCAATGCTTCCAGATCTGAAGCCATCCTGATTGGCACCAGACAGTATCTCCCCAGTCCAAGCTTCCTTTTATTAATCAATCAATGAAATGTAAAGTCTGTTCATATATCTTAATGAGAGGATTGATATGGAGCAGTAATTAATTTAATCACCTGTAACTAGAGTATGAGGCCAAGTTCCATTGTAAAGACATGGATACCTTATGCATGGAAAGGTCAAATACACAATATCACCAGATTAAGTTTTTAGGAAGCAGATCATGGCTACGACTCTCCCCCCGCCCCTCTTCCCCCCTTCCACCTCTCTTCCCCCCCACCTCTCTCCCCCCACCTCTCTTCCCCCCACCCCTCATCCCCCCCCCCACCTCTCTCCCCCCCACCTCTCTCCCCCCATCTCTCTCCCCCCACCCCTCATCCCCCCCCCCACCTCTCTCCCCCCCACCTCTCTCCCCCCATCTCTCTCCCCCCACCCCTCTTCCCCCCCACCTCTCTCCCCCCATCCCACTCATCCCCCGCCCCTCACTCTGAGCCCGTCTCGCGCTCGATGACGTCACGAGACGACCCCTGAACCAGGAAGTGACGTCGGGGAGTCGACTTCGTGGGTCTCTGAGCGGAGGTGCTGACATCGTAGTTGTTGTGGTGGTGGTTGTGTTGTGGTGGTTGTGGTCGTGGTTGTGGTGGTCATAGTTGTCGTGGTAGTGGTTGAGGTGGTCGTAGTTGTGGTCGTGGTTGTGGTTGTCGTGGTGGTTGTCGTTGTGGTGGTCGTGGTTGTTGTGGTCGTAGTTGTTGTTGTGGTCGTAGTTGCGGTGGTCGTGGTTGTCGTGGTCGTTGTGTTGTGGTGGTTGTAGTTGTGGTCGTAGTTGTTGTGGTGGTTGTAGTTGTGGTCGTAGTTGCGGTGGTCGTGGTTGTCGTGGTCGTAGTTGTTGTGGTGGTTGTAGTTGTGGTCGTAGTTGTTGTGGTCGTAGTTGTTGTGATCGTCGTTGTGGTGGTCGTAGTTGTTTTGGTTGTGGTTTTAGTGCTTGTAGTAGTGGTGGTTGCTGCAGGGACGGATCAAGGTTCTTAAAGGCCATAAGTGATCACTTTCAACAGCTGCTACTGCTGCCCACGTTACTACCGCCGCTGCCTTCGATCTCGCCTAGATTGAAGCAGGCTGCTTTATGTGAGGAGCTCGCAAATCCTTGAAAGATCTGGACAGTCCCATTGTGAACTCCTCCAACAGGCGAGGCTGTGTCGGCTGGGTTCATGTGCCCCGTATGCCCAGCCACTGCATGCCCAAGCAGCTTTTGTTAAGTTATATACTGGAGCCTAAACGGGTGTGTCATGGGCTAAAGATGAGATGAGTGATATGATACAGGACGATGTGTGACATCACGAAAAGTCAGACCCCCCTCAAATATGACGTCACAAAGTTCTGCCCCCCCCCCAAAACCATATTTCCTTTTTGAAAATAAAAATGCTTCAAATCACTTTAAACTATTGTCACTGTAGTCCGTATTTAATGTGGCGCTGCACTCTGATGTTGTAGGAGAGAACACGTATTAAATTGGAGCTGTTGGAAAGCTGATATTTAGCATAAATTCACGTGAAAATATTCAACGCTTAACTAAAACTGCAAATGTTCAGAATATATTGAAATTCTATTATAAAATATTAAAAGTAATTATAAGTATAAAAAAATACTTACAATTTTGTAGTAGAACGAAGCAAAATGGAGAGTACAATTATAACAATCACATTCCACAGAATGAAAGCCCTGGTAGAATCATAAAAAAATTTTTACAATCATTCAAAAAATTTACAAAATGTATGCTTCTCCATGGAGAAGCAAAATGCTCCTTCATGGAATAAATAAAAGGTGACCTTAGTAAATTTAAATAATCAAATAGTTAATAATGAAAATTTATTAAAATTAGTGTTATAACAATTATGTTTATATTTATTTAAAGTTGTGCATTTTGATGTGACGTCACATTTCTCAAACCCCTCCCTCCCCTCCTTGTCACACATCGTAACAAATGTCTGACCCCCCTCCCCCCCCTAGGTGTGTGACGTCATTTATGGACAGCCCCTTATGTTTGCTGATGATCTGGTGATTGCTGCTCAGAGGTGGAGTTGGAGGCGCTGCTGCTGATCCTGGAGTGTGTCACAAAGAGGTGGGGTCTTACCATCAGCCCCACCAAAACTAAGCACCTGCCTGGGTATTTTGTGTCATCAAAGACTCTACCACCTCAGCTCCCCATTGGTGGTGTAGCAGTTGAGAGGTTGGAGAGTTTCCCATACCTGGGCAGTGTGCTTATGTCCAGCACCGGTTTGACAACAGAGGTCTCACTCTGAATCAGTCGGACAGCATTTTCATTTAAGCGACTGCATAATTCTGCGTGGCAGCTACCTTGCCTGTCGCTCCACGCGAAGCTTCAGGTCTTCTCGGATACAGTCATGCCTTCCCTTGCAAAATGTGGAGCCGCCTCTAACTGAACATCTGCATCAGCTTGTAATATTCAGGCTAGCCTGTCTATGATCCATCCTGGGTTTAACCACACTGGTTTGTGTAAGTTGTTAAGGGATCATTGCAAGATCTGGACAAAGTCTCATCAGTGGTGCCACAATGGTGAGATGTTAACTACATCACCTGGTATACAGGACTTCATAGGTTCAATCCGGACCCTGACATTTAGAAATATACTTTTAGAATATTTGGCTGCTAAAAATGTCCACGTGATGATAAGCCACTTTGTTGAGCTATCATTTGTGGCCAGGTCATTTCTGAAAAAAAGAGATCTATTGCTCAGTCTTCATTACTTGGTGTGCTAAAAATATTTAATCGTTTAAAAAAATCTGTGAGCTCCCCTGGCAAGTGAGTTTGCATTGGCGGGGTTATGTCGCCTGCATTCCCAGCCACCGCATGCCTAAGTATCTGTTGGGCTGGGTGTTTCATTTAGTTTAGTTTCATTTATTAGGTATAACCCTGTGAGCCATGGGTGCAACCGTAACAAAACAAAAACATGAACAAGAAACATCTTAAAGTGACTACATGCAACAGAAAAATCCTGGAAAAAACGGCAAAGTCTTCAAGAAAAAACACCATATTTCAACGCTGTGTGCAACAATCCCAGTGGGATGCAAGTCAAACAATAACCATAAGACAATTTAGATTAAAGTTATCAGCCTAACTCTGTGCTACAACAAACAAACATGGCTAAACCAAAACGTTTTCAAAATCACCAAAATAAAGCTATAAAAACAATGTAACAGTGATCATAGGAACTGATTCAATTTTAACAATAAACGATATACATAACATGTACGACCAAACTTTGCAGCCATAGTTGGCTGCATGAGTCATTCCATAACAGCAGGAGTATCAGTAGCAGAATCAAAATTGTTCAATACACCTTTACAGATCAGCACACTATAATCAAAACTCAAGAATATACTTTGTAGCAGTCATCCGGAATGATACATTTGATTTCAGGCCATTCTGAATAGCAGTGGCAGCTAGGGGTGTACATCTCCTCTAGAGCAGTTTTGAGTGAAGATCTCACAGGTAGTGATCCAAGTTGCAGTTTATTGGCGATAGCATTCCAGACCCTGGGGGCATCAATAGCGAAGGTCCTTTCTTCAGTATTTGTACGGCAAATAAGGAATGTGAAGCTGGTAAATTAGCAAAGACGTTAGGTCAAATTTGTTCTTTGAAACAGTGAGGAGATCCAGCAGGTAGTCTGCTGATTTTTTTGTAAGTACATCGTGAATAATACTACATGTGCGTGTATAATCTGTGTATATTGTGTGTAATGTGTGCATCTCATGTCCCCTGGGTGTACTGTGTGTCAGTATGTAACGCATGTGTATATTGTGTAAGGTGTAGATGTGTATAATGTGGAGGTGTTGTATAATGTGTATGTATTGTGTATATTATGTGTAATTGTGTGTGTATATATTTTGTGTGTAATGTGTAGGTTGAATGACATGAAGCAGAGACTCAAGACAGCCCAGTGGTAGAAGGAATCAATGCGAGCAGTGTCCATACGACATGAGCCACACTGGACACATTAATTTCAACCACAAATTACACATGGCCAAGAAGACCTTCAAGTGTACTATATGCGAGAAGGTATTTCGACGTTTACCACTACTTAGAACTCACCAGAGACAACACACAGGAGAGAAGCCCTTTAAGTGCACTGTCTGTGGTAAAGCGTTTCCACGGTCAGGATCTCTTAACGCTCACCAGAAAACACACACAGGCGAAAAACCCTTCAAATGCACTGTGTGTGGAAAGGCATTTGCAGGTTCAGGAAATTTTTTGCAACATCAGAGAACACACACAAGCGATAAGCCCTTCAAGTGCACTTTGTGTGAGAAGACATTTAGACAGTCATCCCATCTCCAAATTCACCAGATAACACACACTGGTGCCAAACCCTTCAAGTGCACTGTTTGTGGTAAATCGTTTACACGGTCAGGATCTCTTAACATTCACCAGAGAACACACACAGGTGAGAAGCCCTTCAAGTGCACTGTTTGTGGTAAAGCGTTTACACGGTCAGGATATCTTAACATTCACGAGAGAACACACACAGGCGAGAAACCCTTCAAGTGCACTGTGTGTGGTAAAGCATTTACTAAGTCAAGATATCTTAAGAATCATCACCAGAGAAAACACACAGAGAAGAAGCCCTTCAAGTGCACTGTGTGTGGGAAGTTATTCACACGGTTAGATGACCGAAATAGGCATGAGAAGATCCATGTGGAGAAGGAGGTGGAATCGAGCCCATCTCGCATGCAACAAGACCCAAACGACAACCCGAGTTTAGCAACGTGGCCAGCAGTGAAGGTTGAATGGGAAGAAGTGAAGGGGGAATGTGAAAAGGTGAAGAAGGAATGTAAAGAAGTGAAGGGTGAATGTGAAGAGGTGAAGGTGGAATGTGACAAGGTGAAGATGGAATGTGAAGATGAAGACTCAACTCCAGGCCCCGACCTCCAGGTGAATGGAGGCAGCGTCAAGCAGGAGGAGCATTCGGACTCTGAGGGAGGGCGAGGCGACCCCCAGAAGGTTGTGGATGTGGAGGTGTGGGTGGAGTTTTTGGCGGAGGGATCGTGCAGTCGTTAGTGTGCTGTCTTACGAGCGCGGGAACCCGAGTTTGATTCCCGTTCACGGTCGACATTGGTGACAATTATCTGAATTGGTCCTGGGCCTCCCCTAGGTCAGCTCAGCCTCAATTGAGTACCTGGTGTGGTACCTAAACACCACTGGGAAGACAAAGGTGGACGGGCATGGTGCTGGCCACCCACCCCCTCGTGTACCGTGCCGGCCTTTATCGGTGCTCGCTGCCACACTTGTCTTAAAAGTCTGTTCAGGCTCTCAAGGGGCAAATTTAGCTTCGAAGTTTTTGGACAAATCAGATTAAGAGGGCCCAGCACGTTTGAAGTGGGGGTCTGGAAAGATCTGAAAGAATTCCCAATGAGGTCACCTTATTTACAGGCATCTCTCATCTTAAACAACTACGCTGGTTTGGTCTTCTGCGTGCGTGGCCGTACGTATATTTATTTATTTACTGGCCCGCCCAGACAGCTCACTCTGATTCAATAAAAATTAAACAGCCAGAAGAGAGCGAAAGCATAGGTCTGGCAAGGTCTGCGCCGCAGTGGTGCAGTGCACTGTGGGCGCAGACCCTGCGCTGTGTGAGTGTGGTGTGTATGCAAGTGTGCGAATGGTAGTTACGGTAATATTACGTATATTTACGTAAAAAATGGGTGCTGCTTGCTGCGATTAGTGGAGTCCCCAAACAACTTTACCTTACGAGTAGGCAAAAGTCGCTATACAGTGAGTCTTAGCGGACTGAGCTGGCAGCTTCACCTGCCGGGACCACGGCCAGTTGCGTAGCGCCCCCTACAGTTTCGCCCATGGGTCAATACCCCCATGGGGCAACCCAGCTGACTGTTTGATGGGTACAATGGGTACTTTTTGTTTATCCGGCTTATTACCATTATTATGTATTGACGTTGATCACGTCTCCATGGACGGCTTGCTGTCTACTTCGGTTGTGGAATTGAGATGTTGTGCATGCTGCTGCTGGTAAGGGCATGTGTTGCATAATATGCAGCATGTGTCTGCGTATCATGTTTGCCACGGATGCAGTTGGCGTTACTGTACATTTATGATGTTTTGGAGTGCCAATCCCATCCACTTTGAAATGTAATAAATTGTCTAAAAAGGTTGCAGCCCGGCCCCCGCTGCTGTCACTCTCTGGCCGTTGCACAAGCCATATCGGAATTTGCGACATGCTAAAACAATGAGTACAGTGTCACACCACCCGGGTAACTCCCGGGATCAAAATGGGCATTGGAAAGTGATCGCTTTATTGAGATGATTATGGTACTACCACAGGGTATTGTGGACGGTTCAGGAGGAGGAGTGATCTGGATTTGTAAGTCTCACAGTACCGGTAAGAAGCGCCGGGTGGGGGATGCCCTCCACTGGGGCACAAATTCTGTCATTATTAGCATACGATCATGCAATGTTTCTATCTGCAAGCTGTCATAACTGAAACGATCCCCGTTATTGTTCGATTGAGAAATGGAGTGACCCACACCTCTGATACGATATGTGAGGAACCCAAAAATCTGATGCATGTGTAGGGGTGTTACAGAGGGGCTGTATACAATGGGATCAGATGGGAAAGAAACACAGTGGGCGTGGCTTAGTCGGTGCACGGGCAGGTGCTCCCAGCGACGTCCGCATCGGGCAGCCTGGGGGGCTGACTCGGAGCTGGGATCCCCCGGGGCCCCACCCCTCAGCGGGGGTTTTGGTATAAAAGGGGATGAGCCGGAGGGCTCAGGGAGAGATGTTGAAGCTAACCAGTGAAGATCGAAGATCGTCATAGATAGAGCCCTGGACTCCCTTGGATCGCCGCCCTTGTCAGGGCCGGACAGGATCGAGCCAGCGGCGTGGTCCCGAGAGCCAGAGCTGGTGCTCTTGTAAGAGCTGGTCTGGGACTCCGGGTACCGTGAGCCCGACTTACCAGTGTCGGGCTAGCTAGCCTTCCCTAGCCCGTTAGTGGAGGACCCAGGGGTAGGCTAGGCGTAGCTAGAAGTGTATCCCCATCTTCTTGGTTCTTTCGGTGAAGTCACGTAGAAGGGAAGTAATAAAATAATAAAAAATATAATAAAAATAAAACATAATAAAATTATTCTCACGACGTTTCGGCCACAACGCAAGCAGCCGTCCTCAGGTGAAAACCAGGTCCGTCGAGGCGACAGAGTCTGAATGAAACAGCACACGAGCTTGGAGCATATATATAAGCTGGGCGCATTGACAAAGGAATTTGCATATCAAGAGGAATTTAGCATATTTATGGGAAATGCAGGAATGTGATTAGTACTGCATATGCATGTGCATTATGCAGGATTAACAGCATCAAAGGGAGCTGCAGTTGCTGCTGCTGCTGCAGTTGCTGCTGCTGCTGCAGTTTCTGCTGCTGCTGCAGTTTCTGCTGCTGCAGCAGTTGCTGCTGCAGTTGCTGCTGCTGCTGCAGTTGCTGCTGCTGTAGTTGCTGCTGCTACTGCAGTTGCTGCCTTATCCATTTAATATAACACTATGTATTATTCTACCCACCCTAATGTGTATTACACTGCTATATATTTACTGTACAATTACGACACCATACATTACTCTGCACACTGCACCATGCCAGTGAGTGGAACGCGGTCTGAAAGTCACCGTAAACGTGAACACAATCAGTTAAGATCCGAAATGGTTTATTACGTCCTTCCAATGATTGCTAAGCCAGAATCCATCTTCTCGGTTGAAATTGTCTCTGTGTTTGTATATGTGGATCGCCTCATGAACGAATCTCTCATGATAGCCAGATGGCTTGCAGAGAACCTCTGTCTTGGAGAAGTCAATGTCATGTGAGCCCACTGAATTGTAACAGTGATCTGCCACGGCTGAGGTGTTTGTCCTACCGTGTTTCAGGTCTGCCTTATGTTCACGGATGCGGTCCGAGACATGTCGTTTGGTTTCTCCAATGTAACTGCTACCACAGAGGCAACTTAGTTTGTAGACGCCAGGGTACTGTATGTCTGGAACCACATCTTTTACAGACGGGACCAGATCACGGATTTTATGTACTGTGTTGAATCGGACCTGGATCTTGTGTTTAATCAGGATTTTGGAGATCTTTTTTGTGACCCCAGCAATGTAGGGTAAGGTGATGGTCTTGAAAGGCTCCTCAACAGGATCCTTCTTGATGGTTGGAGTGATGGCCTTGCGGATTGTGTAGTCGGAGTAACCATTAGCCTTAAGAGCTTGGCGTACGTGTTTGAGTTCACTGCCAATGTGTTCCTGGTCGGAAATGCATTGGGCTCTATGGGCCACTCTGTCTACAGGAAAGCCACCCATACGGATGCTTACCTAAAACCGGATTCCCACCACCATCCATCCCAGAAGAACTCCCTCATCAAGACTCTATACCATAGAGCCCAATGCATTTCCGACCAGGAACACATTGGCAGTGAACTCAAACACGTACGCCAAGCTCTTAAGGCTAATGGTTACTCCGACTACACAATCCGCAAGGCCATCACTCCAACCATCAAGAAGGATCCTGTTGAGGAGCCTTTCAAGACCATCACCTTACCCTACATTGCTGGGGTCACAAAAAAAAAGATCTCCAAAATCCTGATTAAACACAAGATCCAGGTCCGATTCAACACAGTACATAAAATCCGTGATCTGGTCCCGTCTGTAAAAGATGTGGTTCCAGACATACAGTACCCTGGCGTCTACAAACTAAGTTGCCTCTGTGGTAGCAGTTACATTGGAGAAACCAAACGACATGTCTCGGACCGCATCCGTGAACATAAGGCAGACCTGAAACACGGTAGGACAAACACCTCAGCCGTGGCAGATCACTGTTACAATTCAGTGGGCTCACATGACATTGACTTCTCCAAGACAGAGGTTCTCTGCAAGCCATCTGGCTATCATGAGAGATTCGTTCATGAGGCGATCCACATATACAAACACAGAGACAATTTCAACCGAGAAGATGGATTCTGGCTTAGCAACCATTGGAAGGACGTAATAAATCATTTCGGATCTTAACTGATTGTGTTCACGTTTACGGTGACTTTCAGACCGCGTTCCACTCACTGGCATGGTGCAGTGTGCAGAGTAATGTATGGTGTCGTAATTGTACAGTAAATATATAGCAGTGTAATACACATTAGGGTGGGTAGAATAATACATAGTGTTATATTAAATGGATAAGGCAGCAACTGCAGTAGCAGCAGCAACTACAGCAGCAGCAACTGCAGCAGCAGCAGCAGCAACTGCAGCAGCAGCAGCAACTGCTGCAGCAGCAGAAACTGCAGCAGCAGCAGAAACTGCAGCAGCAGCAGCAGCAACTGCAGCAGCAGCAGCAACTGCAGCTCCCTTTGATGGAGTTAATCCTGCATACTGCACATGCATATGCAGTACTAATCACATTCCTGCATTTCCCATAAATATGCTAAATTCCTCTTGATATGCAAATTCCTTTGTCAATGCGCCCAGCTTATATATATGCTCCAAGCTCGTGTGCTGTTTCATTCAGACTCTGTCGCCTCGACGGACCTGGTTTTCACCTGAGGACGGCTGCTTGCGTTGTGGCCGAAACGTCGTGAGAATAATTTTATTATGTTTTATTTTTATTATATTTTTTATTATTTTATTACTTCCCTTCTACGTGACTTCACCGAAAGAACCAAGAAGATGAATCCCTGCAGTCACGAAAGCTTTAAATCAAAGTGTATCCCCAGTTAGACGGGTGAGGGGGCCGATACCCCCTCCCGTGTTGTATGTCAGTGCTGTACTCTACCGACACGGAATAAATACGTGTGCCTCCAACCCCGGTGTCAAGGTCTCCTGGAACACTATTACACATGCGTAAAACATCCACAATGGGAATACGTAAACGTAAAAACACCAACAAAATACATTTTAATATAAGAAAAAAATAGGTGGCCCCATAGCGCATCTGTCTGTGTGTGTACAGACGGAGGATGCAGGGGCCAACCTGTGTGCGATCGGAACGGTGCAATTGCTGACCAATGTCACTGTGGATGGCGCACACGCTGACGCACACCGGAGCTGTGTCTTTGCGATGAAAGGGCATGGTGGAGCGCATATGGATGGTGCGTTACGAATAAAATAAAACAAAACAAACCGCTGGAAGCAGCCATGCGAGCAGGCTACGTGTCTGGAAGAAGCCTCACTCTTTCAGATGCCGTACCAGCTTCGTTAACTCTTCGCTACGATTCTGCTGTATTCCATGCCAGCAGATACGAAGGCTCTCTGGGATAAATTCTACGACGAATTGGCTCGCGATTACGAGTACCAGTACCGCCAGCTGACCAACAAAGAAGAAATGGTAAATCTTCTTGGTTCTTTCGGTAAAGTCACGTGGAAGGGAAGTAATAAAATAATAAAAATAAAACATAAAATAATTCTCACGACGTTTTGGCCACAACGCAAGCAGCCGTCCTCAGGTGAAAACCAGGTCTGTCGAGGCGACAGCGTCTGAATGAAACAGCACACGTGCTTGGAGCACATATATATAAGCTGGGTTGGAAGGGGGGGAAAGGGCGCTTTGACGAAACAATTTGCATATGAAGAGGAATTTAGCATATTTATGGGAAATGCAAGTATGTGATTAGTACTACTTATGCCCGTGCATTATGCAGGATTAGCAGCATCAAAGGGAGTGGATATGGGAAATGCAGGTATGTGATTAGTACCCACTTATACCCGTGCATTATGCAGGATTAGCAGCATCAAAGAAAATAAAAAAAATGGTAAAGTTCAAGACCCTTCACAGCCTCCACGAGTTCCTCACGGCAGGTGGGATGGCTCTGTCGGACTTTGACGACCTCCCGCAGCTTTCCGAGTACCCACACTTGGTCTTGGACTCGCTGCTTGAGAACAACCATATCCGCCGCGAATTGGACACGAAGGACTTCCCATTTCGACTTCGGCGCAAACAGTTCCGCATTGTCCCAGCCTTCGCGATGACCATCAACAAGGCGCAAGGGCAAACTGTTCACGACCTGGGATTATATCTACCAACGCCATGCTTCTCGCACGGCCAACTGTACGTGGCACTATCGCGAGTCACGGCAAGATCCAACATCA